TGCTGATATAGAGTGTTGGTCAGGTTCATCTTCTCATTGGAAAGATATCTTCCCAGACTGTCCAAGGGGTGTTAGAAAAACATTGGAAAATCAAGATGGATGGGAGGGGATTGAACTGAGTGTTGTGAAACTGATACAACTGGTTTCTGCAGTTCTATATTTTGCTGGAGATCTCAGTTGCAATCATCATCACCATCATCATCATCAAACAACAATATCTGCCTATCCCAGGTCCTTGGGAAGGACTCGATAGGTGGATAAAAATGCCAGATCCAGTCTGGCTGACTGTGCGACCAACCATAATAATAATCTATTTAAAGCTACACAGCATTAGGATGCTATTTTAAAACATCTCAAGGAAATAGCAGTACTTTGTCCAGGCTCAGGAGCTAAACAGGGTTGAACTTGGTTAGCGAGTGGATGGGAGACCACTAGGAAATCACAGTGGTCTAGGCTAGACTGGAACGTTGGAAAAAACAATTCTGGAAGAAGGCAATGGCAGGAAAATCACTTCATTTTGAGAATACTGCATGGTTGTATCCACAAAGTTATCGGGAGCTAAGCTCAATTCAAAGAAGACTTTACTTTTTTCAGTCCAACACATCCAAAGGCCACAAGTGGAAAAGGCTGGAAGAGAGCTCACGTGGGTTGTCCCATTTTATCATGCCATTTTCTCTTTCCTGCTTTCCAGGGAAAAGCGTTGGGTGACTGTGGGAGATACCTCTTTACGGATCTACAAGTGGGTACCTATCGTGGACCCTCGGGACGAGGTGAGACAGAGGTTGGCTGGTTTCTCACAAGTGCCTTGCCTTCGGTGTCCCTTATTTGTTTTCCTCTCCGCTGTTTCAGGAGAAAAGACGTCTAGAAGGTGGCAAAGAGCAGCAACACACCAAAGAGAGAAGGTTGCCGATGTCTGCTTCTCGGACCAATTCCGCTCTGCTCATGTTGGACCTGAATGGTATGTCCTGGGGACAGGAAGGGGGAGAAGCAGCCTCTGTAAGCCAGGACAGGACGTCTTCTCGTTCTGGGCCTTGTAAAGTCTGGCATCTCGGGCCCTCCCTGCAAAGGATAGTCCCCAAAGTTGGCACCTCAGTTCTTAGCTTGAACAGAACTTCAAGCAGCTAAGAAAGGATTTTTCCATTTGAAGCTCATGAAAAAGCAGCCTGACCAAGGTAGTATGAGCTTAAAAGGTGGAACACCCGCCCAACAACATTAATGTTTTGCACCTCTATCTGGCAGAAGAGAAAGTTGAATTCTGAATAAGCAGTGCATATCTGCAAGTAAAAGCTGATTTTTTAAAAATCCTGTTTTCCAGTAGGAACCCTTGAATCAATGGCCTTCTGCTTTTTAAAATCCATGAACTACTTCTAGTTCAAACAGGCTTGAGGGGACTGAGACCCATTTAATTTTTCTTGCAAGCAATGTAGCCTTTCCCAGTTGGAATTCTTTTTTGTTTGTTTTTTAAAGGGTGCATGCCCCAAAAACCTCAAGTGTTCAAGGGACGTAGGGGGAGGACCAGAAGGAAGGAGAAGAGAAAATCATTCTTGTTGACCTCCAAGCCTCTTCCCCACAAAACCTAGGGGTGCAAAGTGCTACAGAAACAAACTCTGGATTTCTGGAAATCTGAGCTCTTCTAGGAGCTTTTCTACTTGTACAGCTGAGCACTAGAAAGAGAAAACAAAAAGAAAAGGGAGATAAAATATTGATGATCCAAGTAATTAATCCATCTGCAAGCAGACCTAGTAAGAAAAGTGTTTTGAAAGTTGCCTATTAAAATAATCCTGAAAAACATATAGAAGATTCCAAAGTAGCAACCTGAGTTTGGCTTGTATCCTTGAAATTTAAACTTGCTGCTTTGAAGTCTTGAGGAGTAAAAGCAAGAACTGAGTTTGACTCCGGTGGCAATCCTTATGCTACAGCTTTCAAAGTTCCTGGTGGTCTCCCATCCAAGAACTAACCAGTTGTAACTCATCTTGTGCCACATCAGCCAAAATCAGCCTGGGGTTGCCACTTGTCAGACAATAGCTGCTCAAGCCTGTGTCTTAGCCAAGTAACATATAGGCTAGTTTCCTGGCTAATGGGAATGAAAAAAGGGTTGTTCTTGCATCAGTGGCCCAAGACTGTACGAAAACAGCTGTTGCTTAGAAAGAGGTAGAAGAAGAGGACAGTGTGTTCATTTCTCAACACTGAGAACATTTCTCAGAGGCTGAGAAAGGAGAGAGAATTCCATTTTTAAAAAAGACCGATAGAAAAATTAGATCCTTCTCTGCCCCTTGTCTGTTTTACAACAAGTACTTCAGATTTTCTTCTAAGGCTGTTCTCTGCCTGTCTGAACTCTGGGGAAAAAATAATAATAATATAATAATCTTGGCCGAATAAAGGCACTGAAGGGGAGGGAGAGAATTAAGGCATAACACCTGGCTCTCTGCTCCTCATCCGTGGCTTCCTTTTATTTTCAGAATAAAACACAATGCCGAAAGTGACTCACTGAGCGTAGATCAGACTACAGGCCTGTTTAATCCAGGGAAAGAGATTCAGGTGCTGTATGAGCTGTTAGCCGGTGGAACAGGCTGCCATTTCACATGCAGGAATCTTAAAATAAGAGGCCGAAGGGTCATCTATTAGAGATGCTTTAGTGCATGCTGACTGGGGAGTTCTGGGAGTTGAAGTCCACGCTTCTTAAAGTTGCTGAGGTTGAGAAATACTGCTTTGGTGGATCCTGTACTGAACAGGGGGTCGGACTAGATGTCCTCTGTGGTGTATTCCAACTGATTCTGTGAAACCTTTGGTCCTTTGGATGTTGCTGAACCCCACCTTCACAGATGCCCTCACTTGGTTGCGGCTGCTGGGAACAGCCATTCAGCAGCATCCAGGGACCAGAGGTTCATCCTTTCTCGTTCCACTCTTGGTTCCAGCAAGGGATAACCAGATGCTCCTAGGACATCAGTGGTACCCTGTCACTGAACCAGGAGGCTCCAGGTACCCCCCATGATAAAAAGCCTTCCTGATCTCCAGACACGGTTCTTAATGGTCCTGTTTCTGTTTTCCACCAGATGAGAACAGCAACCAGAGTTCTCTTTCGGAGACTTCCCTGCTGAAAGGAGGAGACACCAGCCCCACCCCCACCCCCGATCGAAGCCAGACGGTGACTCCCACCCTCTTAGGGGAGCTGAAGACGGAGGATTTGCAGCCCCCTTTGTTGGGGCAACAGGGAGGTAGGTTCATCTGGCGAGAAATCTCTTGGAATTAAGCAACAGGCCTAGTTGTTGTGTTATGGCCCTGCTGGACTTGCTTTCTGATGAAGAGGAAGGAGGAGGAGGAGGAGGAGGAGTAGAGAAGTAGAGTGTAACGGTATGTGGGAATGACCTTGGGAGACAGGTGGAAGAGCTGCAGACTAGGCAATGGCCAGATAAGAGGCGGCTGAGCACACAGAAGGAATGGGGACGTGGCAATCGTCCCAGAAAGGATCCTCCCTAGTTTCTTGGGCCGTAAAGGCAGTGGGAGGGAGAGATGAGCTTTCAGACTTGCAAGATTCTTTTAATGTAACCATACAATAGAGTTAATACTTCTGGGTGTGCTTCTGGGTGGACTACCACACAAGGCTGACATAGAGCTGGGGGCATCTAATAGTCCTGGAGGGGGGGATTCCAGCAGGGTTGACGCCAATGATCCACCCTGGCTGAGGCCGATCCAGTCAGCCCCCAGGACTCCCCGCCGGCACCCGCTGGCCGCAGCCACCCAGCCCTGAGCAGCGGCCTCCTTTGAGGATCGACAGCAGAGGGCTGAGCTCCGCAGGGCAGATAGGCTGCCCCAAACCAGCCAGCAGGAGAGTCAGGCACCCCAGCTCTGCATTTGGGGGGTGGCTCAGCTGGGCTTATTTATTGCCCCTCCCCCAAAAAACCACTTTTCAAGCCTCAGCTCCGTTGTGTTTTCCTTGCTTTGCCATGCTTCGAACTCTGGATTCCACTGTGTCTCATCCCTTGGATTTGCCACTGGTTTATTGGATCCCTGGTCTCTTTTTTAAAAAAATTATTTATACTTATTGAGAATTGTACATAAAGTAAAAAAAAAAAATCTAAAGAGAAAGAAAGGAAAAATAAAGAAAAGTGGCAAGAAAAGAAAAAAGAAACTAAAGTTATGAAATAGAATGACTTCCAACCTTTTCTTCAATAGATTTTTACAGTCTTATCGTCCCTCCTCCTTCTTGGAGGTTATACAAATCCCTTCAGCCCCACACTTAACCCACATTTTTTAAATCTTCAAACCCATAAATCATCGTATCGTTTTTCTTCTTTCAGCAAAAAGTCCATATAAGGTTTCCAGTCTTTCAGAAAAGTCTTTGTTGATTTTTTTCTCGGACCAGGCAGGTCAGCTTTGCCATCATAACCAATTCTGGCATTTTTACAATCCATTCCTCCAGTATGGGATCCCTGGTCTCGATCTGGGCTAAGCCTTCGACTACGTCACCATTGCCGTCTTTAGCTTTAGGTGAAAAGGGCTCTTTGCTTCTAAAAGTTCTGAGTTTACATATCACTGGACTGTGGCAGGCAGCCAGGGGTGCTGGCCAGCAAATCTACACATGGGAAACCGGAAAGATGCCTTGAGAAATTGGGGCTTTTCTATGTAATTCATTTTCCCTCCCTCCGGCAGTTCTTCCCTGTGATTTATAACATTTCATGGGATTTGCTGTTATGCCCTGATAGAGTCTACATTGTCATATCTATATTTAAGCTTTTCTTTCTTGCTGAGTTATCCTATCAAACCTTTCCACTAAACTTTCAGTTTCCAACCTCAGCATATATCTCTCCCCCCGAGATGCAAAAAGTGAGAATGGACGCTCAGCCCTGCAAGGCGATGGAGGACAGGGGAAAGAAAGGCTACATTTTTCAGAAAATATTCTGGGGTTTGCTTATTTTGATCGATTCCTCTTCTGGGTACAGATTCTGGGGTGCTCCTTCTCGAGGGAACTGATGACCCTCCCAAGCTTAGAAAAGAAGAACCGGATCTCAAGACGTCTGATTTCCAGGTGATTGTGCTGATCTGGGAAAAAAAGCTGAGGTTTCTGGGGGGTAGGGGGTCAAAAAGGTCAAGATGGCCACAATCAAGCAATCAAAACCCCACCCTTACTTAATGTGTGAAAATGAGTGAAGTAATATCAGAAATGAACAAATGTTATCAGAAGTCATTTCTATTCACAATTGAACAAAACCACCTTTCAGCTATATTGTTGATCTCCTTCCCTGATTTGGTGCCTTCCAAATACAGCATCTCAGACTTACTGTTCCCTCAACCCCTGGGGGTGACAAGTTTTGTGGTCCAAGATCTTAGGAGGACACCAAGTTGTAAAGTTGATGGGGACATGTTGGGGGGGATGCTGTGGTTTAAATAATGTCAACTTAGATAATCGGGGCTGCTTTGCATCTCTTGGGCATTTAATATACTTAATTTTTTATTTAAATGTCATTATTATTATTATTTGAAACATTTATTGTTTAGAGAACTTATTTAGCCTAAAATATTTTATATGGGTTATTTCTTTTTCTGATTAATAATTTCTGCATGGCTTTGCTTTTTTGGAGTCAACGATGTACACATTTTGCATTATTGAGATATGCTATTACACTCTTGACGTACGTTATCGGGGTTCTGTTTTGACTGAAATAGGACTTTAATCTTCTGACCCTTTGTTCTTGGGAGCCAAATTCTGCCCTTTGTTCTTCGGGCTGAATTTTCTCCTTCAAAGAAATGCAGACGAATGCGTAATCTATTGTGATTGAATTGAAAATAATACAGCAGGAGTGTATTTTAACCTCACCGAATGACTGATAAAGCAAAGAGAAATGTACATTGGCCAAAACTACCTGCTAAAAGCCAACTTGTGGGATGACTACTTCTTTATTTTGCAACTTCATTCTGCTATAAACTGTATGATTGTTTTTCATGCAAGGTTTGCCCAGAAAGAATAGCAATAGTCGCACGGTATGCATGAAAGCAAGTACACTTCAGCTAGCAGGCACGGTTCATCAAAGACCCCTGAGAGCAAGCTTTTTAAAAAAATTTAAAATAGAGGTATATTTTCAAAAAAGATAATGTCTATAGATGGACAGGTACAATGTTTGTATGATTAATGCTCAAAACATTAATAATGAGCTTAAACCGAATCAAAAGATCTCCAAAAACTGTGCTCTCTTCATTCTCCTTACTTGGCATGCTATATTTACACATACATGTATACAAGTATAACATTTTTTAGCTGAAAGATTGGAAACAAATTTGGATAGAAAGTTCTCCTAACTTTGATTTGCTAACAAATTCCCAAATGTGTATTGTCCTAATTAAAACCAACCCTCACTTATCATTCTACAGCAGTGTTTTTCAACCTTGGCCACTTTAAGATGTGTGGACTTCAACTCCCAGAA